CTTTGGGTGACTCAACAAAACAGGAAGAAGGAAGTGCTCGAAGTCTAAGCACGTATATCTGTCACAGGACTTTGGTTCCCAGGTATGGTTTGCTCTCACTTTCTTATGGAAATGCTATATATGATGATATTCAGTTTGCACTTTAAAGCCTTAAAGACTGATCTGTGTTCAGCAGTCCGTAGTCACATAGCTTCTGCTTCTTGGCACAAACAACGCCCCTGTGTCTGATCAGTGCCTGCACCTTTGCCCTACTTTCGTTTCCAGAGCGAAACAGGAGTGCTGGTGTCAGAATGGCAAGCAGGCTCTCGCTCCCGGGGGTGGACCTCTCCTGTCCCATATGCTGTGAAATCTTCAGAGACCCGGTGGTCCTAAAGTGCAGCCACAGCTTCTGTGCATCCTGTCTGCAGAAGTACTGGACACACGCACGGGGCCGCGACTGCCCTCTGTGCAGAACCCAGTCCGTGGACGACCCCGTACCCAGCCTCACCCTGAAGAACCTCTGCGAGTCTTACATTGAGGAGAGTGAGGGTCCGGAAGATACGTCAGGGGAGCTGTACTGCGATCCAGGGGAGATGTGCCCTCTGCACGGGGAGAGGCTCAAGCTTTTTTGCCTGCCGGACAAGGAGCCCATCTGTGTGGTTTGCCACACCTCAAGGAAGCACAAACAGCACGATTGTTGCCCTGTCAGCGAGGCTGTCGTAGACGTGAAGGTAAACACTTTGCCTTTGAGATAAAATGTAGAACTAAGGTGGAATAATGATGTGCTTTTCCTTGGGGTTGTTACTCTACGTTCCCTGAATAGATGTTCTGTTTTGTCTTCAAGGATGTTGCCGGCTTAAAGTTTTAAAGGTTAATCTGCTTCTTTTCAAAAGGCCTTCAAATTAATTTTCTCTTTATTTTCCACTCAGGAGAAAATGAAGTCAGCCCTCAGCTCTTTGCAGGAAAAGAGGGATGCTTTTGACCAAATGAAGAAAAACTACGAGGACATCGTGGCATACATTCAGGTGTAGTAGGATTCTTTCTCGTAAATCCACAGAAGTCACGCTGCCATCTCCAAGCCACTCTCACACGGTCCTTGTTTCAGGTCCAGGCTCGATTTGTGGAGAGACGAACCCGTGAGGAGTTTGAAAAGCTTCACTCTTTCTTAAAAGCCGAGGAGGAGGCCAGAATGCGGGCGCTGACAAGTGAGGAGGAGGAGAAGAGTCGGGCAATGATGCAGAAGATTGAAGAAATTACCAGAGACATAACATCCGTGTCTGAATCCATCAGAGTTTTGGAGGAGGAGATGGCTTTGGAGGGCGTCTCTGTCCTTCATGTAAGTTTGCAAATGTGGATATTTGCATAAAAATCCAAGTTCTATTTTTAAGTCTTTAAGTGAGTTTGCCTCTTCCCCCCCCCACAGAAATGCAAGAGGACTCTGGCAACGTGAGAAAAAGCTTTATCTTTTAAACTTTACTTTTCTTTTGCTTGCATAACAACATGCATAAACTGCCTAACTCTTCTCCCTGCAGAGCCAACTGCCCCATCCAAGATCCTGTTATGGCCCCCGGAGCACTCATAGATGTGGCCAAATATGTAGGCTCTCTGTCCTTCCACGTATGGGAGAAGATGCATAAAATCATCAAATACAGTGAGTACATACTCTAAACTCTAAACTTTTAGATGCAGTTTTTGCCTCATGTATTCCTGAGGTGGACAGAAGGTCGTGATTCTGAATGAACTACCGGAGACAGCTGACAGTCTGCCATGTTTTCCTCAGCCCCAGTGACTCTGGATCCCAACACCGCTGCCCCGTGGCTCATCCTGTCAAACGACCTCACCAGCGTCTGTGACAGTGATGATAAGCAGAAGCTGCCCGACAACCCAGAGAGGTACGACCCCGACACCGGCGTACTGGGCCGCGAGGGCTTCAGCTCAGGCAAGCACTCCTGGGACGTCAGCGTGGGGGATAACACGGCGTGGGTTGTCGGCGTGGCTAAAGCGTCCGTCCAGAGGAAGGAGAAAGTGTCTTCGGTGCTCAAGAACGGCTACCTGTGTGTGTACTTTTACCACAAAATGTACTTCGCTGGTACCTCTCCTTTAACGAGGCTCAACTTGAAGAGGAACCCGCAGAGGATCAGAGTGCAGCTGGATTGTGACAAGGGCAGGGTGTCTTTCTACGACCCACATGACAATACACACATCTACAGCTTCAAGCACGCCCTTACCGAGAGAGTCTTTCCTTACTTCTGGGTGGGCTGTCAGCAGTGTCCTTTGACGGTCGAGCCGCTCGAGGTTTCTGTGAGAGCTGTCGAGTATTGTTGAAAGTACATTTGCAATCAAATACCTTATCTTTTTTTCTTCAGCACAAACGGAATGGGAAGGTTTTTTTTGAATTGCACATAGTGTGTGGAGAGCTCCCAGAATATGAAATCAAATTGCATAATTTAAGCACTTTTCTTTCCTGGTTCAATACAATGTCTTGTACAGCCTTTTCCAGTTGAAAAAATTATAAATACTTTGTCTCTGATCTCCAATTTGATCTCTGCACTTTTGAACTGCTACCTTCGCACTATATGCTATTTCTTTAAAATGTACTGTATAGATATGTTTGTGTAAAACACAGCCTGGCTGCTTAATGTGTGTTTTATAATGGTGCAGTGTAGCCTGAATACATTTATTAGTCTGGCTTTGGTTTGATGGATTAAAGTTTGTGAAATGATTCAGAATTTGCATGTCAAACTCTAAATGTGTGTTTGTTTTTCTGAAGCTCATTTCTGTTATGTTATGGATATATGGAAAACACGGAATGTGCTTTATGTGCAAATGCTAATGATGATACAGAAATTTGAGAGTGCTCAAATAAATATATAATTTGCAGAATTTTCAGGACCTCCCTTGATTTTGTGCAGCCGTCATGTCTCGCCTATATTGAAACGATGAATGCTTTGTTTAAGGAGGAATTACATTCTCCTCTCACTTTAGGGTTAGTAGTACAGAGGCCATTAGGCTATATAAAATGATTAACAGTGTAAAATTACTATTTGCTGGCATTTCAATATAGGAAACTATACATGGACTCCAGTGCAAAGTAAATCATTTGACAGCTAAAGATGGCTATGGATATTACAGTGGACTGTTCTTTATATATATCTAAAAGTAAGTTCATAAGACTAGTAAATTGTGTGGGATTTAATTGTGTGTTGCAATAGGTGATGAAGATTTCTTATTTTGAAATTTAAATTTCATAAGTCTGTATATATTACCAGTGGTGAAAGAAGTATTAAGATCCTTTAAGTTACTTAAGTACTTAGTACTAGTACCACACTGTGAAAGAAGTCCTGAATTCAAAATCCTATTTAAGTAAAAGTATTAAGTATTACCAGCATAATGTACTTTATACTTTAGTACCAAAAGTAAAAGTATTCGTTATGCAGTTAAATGGTTCCTGTCAGTGTTTTCCTAATATATATGAAGTTTTTTGATTAATATTACAGCTGCATTAATGTGTATGTTGCATTTTACTGCTGTAGATGTTTGAGGTTCAGCTCATTTTAACTACTGTATATACTGCTGGGTAGTTCAATCTACAGAAACCCATCATATTCTGTAAGATCATCGTATTTGTAGCATCGCTGTCCTGTGAGAACCACATATATCTAAAAAGTCGACTTTTCATGAGCTCAGAAAAACACCTCTGATTTCAGCTCTGTCACGATGCATTTTCCAGCTAATAAAAGGAGGGGTTTTAAATAAATGAGGAAGAAAGAGAATTACCTGTCAGCACATAAAGTAACACTTGATCCTGCAGTCTATCACAAGCATTCAGTATCATCAAACCTGGAGATAAATGGTTTTCACTGAACAGTAAGTGTATGCATTGTACTCTGAAGGAAGATCAAGTAACTAAAGTTGCATAAAATGGGCTCAAAACTCAAGTAAAGTATAATAATTAGGCTTATATACCTTGAATTTGTACCTACAGTAGTACAGTAGGCCACTAGGGTAAATGAATTTAGTTACATTCCACCACTAAATACATTATATCAGTTTGTGTGCTACAGTAAGTATTCTAAATTGTATCTGTGTAAGTGAAATTACTGTGAAAATACTGAAATCTTTGGGTTTTTTTTTTGTTTTTTTTTTTTACATTTTTGATATTTTAACAACATGTCTTCATCCTACCCCTCCCACTGAACTGCAGCATGGCCCGTCGACATTACCCTATTCTTCACTCCTTCACCTAAAGCAACTTAAACCAATGTGACAACGTTTGGTTACTTATGTGAGAAAATAAATATACTTACTGGCATCATTTGTGAAGCTGGAGGTTGAACCTCAGCCCTCAGAAGGTGTTAGGACTGAAGGTAAGGTTGGCAATTTACCCACTTGTTAATTAGCTAGCTTTCAAATCGGTTTATTAGCTATGGCCGCGATGCTAATTGTGCCTGTAGATAATAGCTAGCGAAGAATGTGTTATGGAGTCACAAGTACGTTCAAAAGTTTCTTAGTTAGAGGTTGGGTAAAGTTAAATTGACATAAATTATGACCAATAAACACTGGTGGAAAAAAGGCAGCTGCTCACATAGTTTAACCTACTTGAAAAGGTAGACAGAATTATCTATTTAATCGGATTATAATAATGATGCATTCATGTGTCAGCCTCAGGTTGTTTTCTATACTGCTGGGTGGTAAAAATGTATAATAATATGTCATAAAGTATTTTTTTTCTTACATGTATTATCTGAATCTGCAAAGTAAGTAGTAAATAGGGTTATGAAATAAATGTAGTTTAGTAAAATGTAAATTTATCAGAACTGTACTTAACTACATCTTTCAGTAAATGTACTTAGTTACTTTTTACCACTGAAATCAAGGAGTTTGATTCTATACTCTATAAATATAGAGTATATAATATATATAGTATATATCTGCATTAAGCTGGTAAAGACTTGGCTAAACCCACTCTATTGTGCTAATTTACTAAAAATAAATGTTTCTGTTTTTAAAGGACGTCCAAGATGCCGAAGAGAAAGTTGGCGAGGAATGTTTCCATCATAGAGACCCCGCCCAAATCTCCCAATGTCACTTTGCTGAACCAGTCACTCCTCTTACTGGAAATCCCTGCTGACACCAACACCAGCCTCCCCGTGTGGGAGGCCATAAGATCCCAGCAGGTTGGAATAGTCTGGACCGTCAACCCCTACAGCATCAGCGTTCATTTAACCCCTTTGACCTCGAAGCAAGACAATACTACAACTTCCAGCCAAAGTGAAGGCATGCCCAGTGTGGCACAGACCTCAGCACCTTCCACTAGCATCCCGCAGCCTCAGGTGGTCATCCAGTCCGTTAGTCAGCAGCATGGCTCCCCCCAGAACACCTCCTGTGTCCTGCTCACCTTCTCTCAAAACAGCCCCCATCCACTGCCGAGCCCTCCCGGTAAACCACGGAATATACCTCCAAACCCTGTGCAGGCAGCCACCTCCCTCATCATCTCCTTTCCTCTCATCATCAACCAACCACAGCATGCCCCTCAGCCCAGCACCCCTACCCAGGAAAGGGTCCCACCCGCCATCCAGACCCCGACAGCCACCCCTACCAAGTTGCAATCCCCGTCCAAAGTGCCCGTCCCGTCTCCGTTCCACACAAAGTGCACCTCCGACGTTGAGATCTGTGACAACTTCCTCCTGGGTTTGTGTCGTGCGGGGAAAAGGTGTAAGATGCACCACACTCCCTACCCTTTTTACTGGCAGCTGTGGTGTGTGATCACCCACCAGTGGGTCAGCATCCCCCTTCACTCTCAGGTCTTACTGGAAAGACTCTACAGCAATGTGAACCAAGAGGTGGTTTGCCTTAAGGATGGGTGAGTAAGAGAGTTGAACTGGAGCCAGATCTCTGGTTTTAGCTTTACTGCATGTTGCTATTAGATATTTTCGGCTAATAAAGACTATTACATCACTGATATCTCAGAAAAAAGGCAAGTTCTGTAGTATGTTTTAATTGGAATCATACAATGCTGTACCTTTAGGCATCTCCGCTACAGTCTGAACTTTGAAGAGATGGAGTTGGACGACTCATCCAAGTATGACGGGGTTAGACGGCTGACGAACTCTGACAGTCTGGTTAGGAACCCTTACTTTCCCAGCGTGTGGAAGATCTACTGGTGGAACAACTTTGACTGGGAAGAGTACAGCAAGGTGAATGTTTCCTCTTTATGTTTCTCTTTTATTCTAGTTTTATCTCTAACCACTATTACGATTTGGTAAATCTTTTCGTAGAATTTGTCCACCTGCCTGCTAAAGAAGATGAGCCAAAAGGAACCTGAATGGTCCTTCTATATCGGCTCGCAAGAGTACAAGGTAGACTTCACCGCCATGATCCAGACTAACCTCACCACAGGGTTCCAGAGGCACGTCCGGTGCAGACCCTTCTACCGATCCCCCGACTCCATGCAGCCTTACCTACAGTCGGTATCCTGGTTCTACTCTCTGTCTCTCTGTGTTTCCTTCACAAACTGCACTCATGTATGCCAAAATATGTTATAGCTGTTCCTCTCCTCCCCATACCTAGGACAGGAATCCAGACAGACCCCACCAAACCTCCAGCGGCCCACTTCAGCGTGGACCCCCTGGTGGAGTTCAGCTCCTGGTATCCTCCTGTGTGGTGTGTGACCCCGGAGCAGGACTACAGCCTGGTGGACGTTCCAGCCAGCACAGAGGCCTACAAGAGGGTCAAAAACCTCTTCTATGAGAGCCTGCCTGAGTCTGAGGTGGACATCATCAGCATCCAACAGGTCCAGAACCTGCTCCACTGGGACAAGTACCAAAGGTCCAGCTGCTGTTTGTGTTTCTTGTCTCAAAAGTTGAGTTGAGTTAAAGTTACAGTGTTAAAGTTATTTGTGGTGGTAAACTATCCGCATCAAAACACTTCTATCTGCGCTGTCATTACAGGCACAAGGCACACATGCAGAAGCAGCACACCAAGTTTAAGGAGCCTCTTGAGAGACATCTCTTCCACGGGACGACCGAAGAAGCCTCAGAGGACATCTGCCACAACAACTTCGACCCTCGCATGGCCGGCGTCAACGGTACGTCCTACGGTTTTGGCTCCTACTTCGCCACGACCGCCTCCTTCTCCAAGACCTATTCGAGCAAGGCTGGGCCAAACGAGGTTCGCCACATGTTCCTGGCCAAAGTCCTGGTGGGGAAGGTGAGCGTTGGAAGGTCCCACTACCGCCGGCCGCCACCGCTCAACTCCAAAATGAGGCAGTACCATCTCTATGATGCCTGTGTGGACAGCCTGGACAAACCCTCCATGTTTGTAGTTTTTGATAGCTGTCAGTGCTACCCGTACTACCTCATCCAGTACAAAGACCTGCCCAGAGAGATTGATATTTGATGGCTTTTGATAGCAGGGGAGTTTGTTCAAGTTAAAATAATGTGCAGTGAAGTTATAGATATTCAAATTCATCAAGTTCTTTATTTTTTAAATTGTCTTTATTTTGGTTATTCAAACATTTTCCATCAGAAATAAGTACTTTTGTTTTTTCTCTCAAATGTGTTCTGAATCAAATTGACATCTGTCATGTTTATGAAAATAAGCTGTTCACTGAATACATTCATCTCACCGTGTTTTAATATGAAGTTTGATCATCCGTCGTTATAGTTTCATCTGTTAAAATACATATACCTGATTGTATGTTTTTTGAAATGCCACACTGGAATGTGTTTCATCAAAGTGTCTTGTAGTAAAAGCGTATACATTTCAAAATATTTTCAAAAAATCTCTTTTCTCTCTTCAAAACTCCATTATACACAAAATGACAAAACAGAATATTCATAAGTTCCTGGCACTTTAAAATATCTGTAATAGTAATTGTCTTAAAACTAACCAGGTACCAGGTGTTTGAATCTCTTAAGGATTTTCTATGCAGGAAACGCCCTGTTGAAATAGAAGTTAAATCTACCCCTGAAAAGCCTTTTCAGCAGGATGTCCCACTGAACACTTTTTCTGTTAAGGATACAGATTGAACCGTATCGTGACTGAATTTTTACAGTTGGCTCTGTAGCAATAATGACCCTCAACATGTATGTACTATCAGATTTTTTTCAGTTCTATTTTCACACACATACAGTACACCGAATTAACGAAATATTAGGGACATTTAATAATGATATAAAGTCATGTAAAGGGTGTTATCCCTTATTGATTTCCCTTAAGTTTCCCTTAAATTTAAAGGGGAAGAGACTGATAAAGGGACATAGGCAGTTATAGTTTTGAAACTTTGAGATGGACTAAATGTGGGCTTTAATAACTTGGTTCCAACTCCATCTCAGCTCAATAAAATGCCACTTGTATCTTGACTCCTCAGTGTAGATACAGCAGACTTATTGTTGTTTTTATTCATACTGTACAAAGTCTGGGTTGACTTCTGTATCTGTGTACCCACGAAATATAAGCTCTGTCTATCATATTAATGCTTCTATCCATATTTTTGAAATCCCTTCCCGTCTTGAAGTAACATCTAGTATTTTGTTTAAAGACTGCAAGAATAGATCAAATAAGGCATTACCTTGTGTTTTATGTACAGTGTGTATATTCTTTTTTCTTTAAATGTGCAATTCTGCGTTTATGTTTTCTTTTTTCACGATAATCCAACTTGTTATGATAAAGAAAAACCACAGTCACAAGATACAAATTACACTTACTCACAAAAAACACAAACATAAGACAGGCCTGTTCTGAATAATGCACCTTCCACACAACATTAAAACAAAGGGATGACAACATGATAATAAAGGAATAACACCAAAATTAGTTTTAAGTAGATGGCAGATTAAACCATGCAGCCACATTTAAAGATGTAAACAAGACTGAAATTCTGTAGCCACGCTAGCGCCAAGACTGTGATGCCCATTACTTTCTAGAAAAAGTGTTGGATGGGTGAAAAAACTTTGCTTTTCTTAGTTCCAATAACTCTACAGTTTGAGCCTGAGGGTGGCGCCAGAGGAAAGGCGGTGTAATGTAATTCCAAATGGTTTCTGCTCCTTAAGAGGGACTTCTCAGCCGACGTTGCTCTTTTTGGCGCTAGTGTGGCAAAAAAACACTGAGTGAAATCAAATTTAAAAGGCAACAGAAGCGATAGAAAATACATCATTAATACACATATCACCGCCCTTCAAACAATGATTGAGTCATAGGTTAAACAGTTGTTTTTGCAGCAGATGTCTGACAGGAGTGCCTGTCTCCAGCACAGAGTGTTTTACTTTGTCTTTTCCCTTTTTTAGTTTGTATACAAGTACACTATACAAAAAAGGTTAAACTGATATTGAAATAACCCCACTAAAATGGCATGGAAAACTACCGCACAGGAACCAAGAGGGTTGTTGGATTGGCCAACAGAGCACCAACATCTCTGATCAGTATCCGCCTTTTTTTTTTTTGCAGTTTCATAATTTGTTCCTTGACTTGTGCGTGAACTGATTGCCAATGATGTGAGCAGTGAAGCTGTCGACTTCCAAACAGCCCCCGCGAGAAGAGATTTTTAGGGAGGGCAGGAAAGGTGGCGGCGTGGAAGTAAAACCGGTAGTTTTCATTCACAGGCCAGCTTGCTGTCAAAGCTCGACAGGCCAATGGCAAAGGCTTGAAGAGCGCACATGGGGTAGTTATAGTCCAGAGTGAAGATGTCTTCGGCCACTCTGCCAAACTGCATGACAATGTAGTCAGCTAGAGGCAGAGGGAAACAGTAAAACAGCCATACAGCGCGTTAATCGTTGCTGTAAGCATGTAACGGTGCAGAAAATGCGTAGGAAAGAGAGGGCGAATACTTACGGTCGTTGTCGTGAACTATTTGAAAGTTTTTGACTGAAGCTTGGGTGACGCGGCCATGGAAGTTGAGCACATAAGACTGGGTGTCGTCGTTCCACACAGGGGCCTTATTGTGCAGCTCAATCAGGTTGTCCAGTGAGTGATTCTGCCACCTGCTCAGGAGGCTCTCCTGCTCCTGTAACACAAGCATACCTATTTAAGTTGATGCTCTTGTTCAGTGTGAATCCAAATACATATGAAATACTTGAATACTTGATAAATGTACAATATATATAAAATTATACTCAAACAACATGATCCCAGGACTGTCAGACTCACATTTTGAGGCCTTACAGGGACTCTTTCAAAATTCATGTTCATGCCCGGGATGATTACGGTCATCTTACGTGGTCCTTTGAATCCCAACACGTTTGTCTCCTGCCAAACAGTACAGAGAGTGTGACAGTTTCACTCTGTGTTATGAATGAACTGGGGATGTAGCGTGTGCCGTGCGTGTCTTTGTCGTTTACTCACATAGCAGATGGCAGCCAGTTCCTGTCGTGTGTTGCTCTCCTCCAGCAGCGCCCCGGGGTTTTTGCAGGGATTGGTGCCGTTGTCGTACACCGTGAATTTGGTGCCCATGAGGTTGGACCTGATAGAATGCACATTGGTGATGAAACGATTACACCACTTCACATTTGTCAACTGATGGCACCTTTAACACCCGAGTCGTGCGTAGAGGCAGAAGCAAAAGCACTGTTTCAAGCAATTAAGACTTGCTGCTAACTGTCCAAAAGCTGAACCTAACTGTAATTTGCTTATACTTAGAATACTGTAGGATTTTAGGTAGAATCAGTCTGACCTTTTATGGGCACAGGTAGATCTAAGAGTGAGTGTGGTTTTACCTCAGTTTACCTATGAAGCTCTCGCCCTCTCTCGAAAGATCAGTGGCATCCACTGACATAAGGTAGTTGGACGTCTTACTCTTCTTTCGCTTCCTTCCTGCCAGCAAAAACACCTGAAAAGAGAGACATTTAAAAACAAGTCTTGCATATTAAGGTAGTTTAAAAAGTTTTAAAAGTAAAGAAGTTCCACAATACACTTAACATATAGTATATAACAATTCTTTAGGGGTGAGACTACTTATTTTCATTGTGGAATAACTACCAGCTATTTTTCAATAAATGATTTTGTCTGTAAAATGTCAGAAAGTTGTGAAAAATGCGATTAGAAGATGTACTATTTACTATAATAAATGACAAAGAAAAGCACCAAATCCACACCTTCGATAATCCTGGAACGTGGAATGTCAAAAATGATTCATTGATTATCAAAATAGCTGCTGATTAATTTTATGTCTTTCCACCGATGAACTATTGCACACACTCACTCTCTTGCCATCCTCTCTCTCCATGTGCATGAAGTAGGTGGGGTAGAGGCCGCGGTCCATGCCCTTCTTGTCCCGGGTGATTCGACATTTAACAGTGACGCCACGTGGAGCCGGACGAAAGACAAACTCCTCTAGATTGGCCACATCAATTAGTGCGCTGTCTGCTGTGGGTGATCCGGGGGTCACCACCTCCTGAATATGGAACATGAACTTTTGTTATGATAGCTTATTTACGCAATATTTAGAACTGGGATGAGGATTGTGTAGTATACACTTGAAGCTTGTTGGTGAATGCGTTGCTTGGGACACTCACGGGAATGTCCTTGCCACTGGCAGCAGAGGCGGGTCTGGTGGTGTCTGCGTTAGGGGACAGAGACCGTGTCCGTTCCTCCTCTACATCGTCCTCGTGCTCGCTGGCTTCGTCGAAGTTCATACTGCCGCACAGGCCTGGGGAGGGAGAAGAGGCAAAAGGTGAGAGAGAGCTTTAATGATGCATGAAGGTCTTTACAATATTCATGCTGGGAAGCTCATTCATACAAGACAATGCCAGAGGCTCTGTGTATATTCCCAACAACAAAAGAATCTCAAAGACTTTATCTTATTTCTTTGGTTTTGGTACAAAAGTGTCCCCCAGGTGGATTTTAGGGTTTTTTTTGGTTCTTCTATGGTCTTTGATATATGACAACTAATTTATCAAGAACTGATGCAATCCTTGAGCAATGGCTGAAGCAGAAATAGTGCATAATACAGTTAAAATCCCTCCCTTTTATAGGTTTTTTGTTTTTAGCCGGGTACTTTTTTTTTTACTTTTACTCAAGGGAGAACCTTTAACTGGAAAAGAGGAAAGTGAATAAAGCCTTGAGAATCTAACTGAACCAATCCAAACTGCTTTCTATCAAACTGAACAACCTGATCATCCAGTTAAGCGCTGCACAGCACTCACCCTACAGAAAGGTCACATTTGGCTAGTGGCCTCAATTGAAGCCCTACCTGTCACAAACAATGCATCTTTTTCTAAGTCACTTTCTGCGAGGGTGAGATTAATGTCAAGAGAAGAAGCGGAACATCCCTCCAAGACTTGCATCTGTGCACTTGTGAAGAGACAGCTCCATGCAGTCATGCAGATGTAAAATGGGCCTAGCTGACTGCAGCCAGTCAAGACCGCTTGAGACATCTGTCTCTTCGTTGATAATTGGATTTATCAGCCAGGACGCAGCTCTTGGCTGCAGTTGTAGCCCATCTGAATGTGCTGTCAGGGGATAACAGTGGTCCGCTGGTATGGAAAGATCTCAGTAAGCAGGGGAAATTGTGTTTCCCCACAGCTCTGCAGTGTTAAAGATGTAAAACTAGAACACTTTTCACTTGGATTGAAATTTAACTTTAATTAATTGCATGACCAGAGATGACATTGATGGTAACAGCGTGGTTGGTATGAAATTATAGAGCATGTTGCACAAGTTTCCCTAATTACTGTAATCCAATCTTCAGCTTTGGAGTGAATAAATGAAAGTAATTTTGGCCCACCATTCACACACAGTGCAGGCCACATCCTCCTTCAAGCCTGACCAACATATCATGGCAGATTAGAGAGCAGAAGGGGTTGGAGAGCATTGGCCTAAGCAGGAATGAACAAGAATAATAATGTGAGAGACAACACAGTCAAACACAATATGTAAACCGGGGTATTTACAAAAGATGAACCCAGGATATGCAGCTATCCTTGATATTAACTATTGTGAAAGAATGGTAGCCTCCCTCTAACAGTGACTCCAGGGCTCCAATTAAAACACTGAACAACGTTGTGTGAGGCTTATAAAATCAACCATCTGGAAATGTCAAAGAGGACTCACAATGGGCTAACCAACAACCTACAAAATAAAAGCAAAAACGACACACACACAACATAATAATTAACACACAGCAGGTCAAGAACACTAAATTTCAGGCACCCAAAAATGCAGATCTTGATTGGATAAGTTGATCAAATATGAATGTACCTCAAAATTTCTTCTGTTTCCTCTGGGGTTGGGGTATTATGCAAGGACAGAGAGCCAAAAATACCTGCTGGAAGTCCTGAGGACATATTCTTATGCTAAACTGGGCTGACATTAACAATGAGGCCTTGCATTATTGAGAAGGACAATGACATTTGCTACTGTGGCGTCACGTCACACTAAAGCCCAGGAAAAAAGATCTGATAACCAGAGCCACTTTTGATAATTTGACCCAGGATTCAATTGTGGCTCTGCAATGCCAACATTATAACATTTGTGGAGCTGTTTTAACCTTTAACCATGTTCCTTTAAATGAAAGTTAACCTTGTTTTAGGGTGGAGAGACTTGTTTTTGCTCCACAGTAGCAGGTAGATCTGAAAAGTACACCATCCACTCTGGGCTAGATTTTTAATGCACCCTCCATAAACTTTATAGATCCCTGCCTGCCAGCTGGCTGGTGAGAGTGGGTGGCAGTAGCTATAATGATGCCATAGATGAGCGCTGCAGTATGAACAATGCCCTGGCCTATTATAAAATGACCCATTTCTCACTGCGTCACCATCAATCACACCACTGTCCGCATCCATATTCCATACTGCAGCAACAGACAGCTTAAAAGTCTAGGGGATGTCAAAAAGTCTGACTTTGCTTAACACTTGCTGCTTATATGGAGTGAATTACAACTACAAACACATTAACACAGAGTGACTATATTAGGCTGGTCCTCACTGACAACAAGAAGAGAACTACACACGATATGCAACACAACTTCTGTTTATAAATGTCTACTACAGACATCTACTGATGCGGTTGTATATGCTTGTGTGTCACTGGTGGTGTTTTGCTGTGTGTCTTTTTTTTTCTCTCTCTTGCAAAAGAGATCATGATCAGACAAAAAGGTGACAAAGACAAGGAATTAAGCAGGAGACCACACTGGCTATTAAATGTGACTGAAGCTGTATCTTCCCTTAACAGGGAGGACATAAGTCAATCAATAGGCTTCATGGAATTAAAATGCTTTGATAGAAAGTCCCTCACTTATCCTTTATGAAGTAAAGTAAAAGGATATTTAAGGCTTTTTTTCTTTCACAAGGAGGTTGACTGTAGACTAGGGGTGTGCCATATCATTTTGATTACCGCTGCTTATTAAAAAACTTTTTACTTTTTTTGATTTTGTGTAAACTCTGCCAGGACTCACCTTGTTTCTGCAGTAATTCGTGGATATCAGTCTTGGGCTCTAGCAGCGTCTCAGTGTCTCCATCCCTCTCCGGCTCCTCAGCAGCGGGGGACTGGGGCTGAGACTGGGACTGGGACTGGGACTGGCTCACTGACAGGATTTGGATTTTCATTCCCAGATCAGGGGCTTCTGAGCCCAAGAACGCTGCTGGGCCATCAATACCTACAGCAGGGCAGAAACAGTTGTTACAGGAGCTCATAATGTTCTCATGTTGTAATAAGTACAAAGAACTGTTTGTCTGTCTCTGAGCTATGCTCCAACTGAGTCATCACTTTTTGCTGAAAAACTCCACTTCTCTAATTAGCTCAACATTGGCCTGAGGTTTTGTTGAGTGAGAGCCTTAAAGAGGTTATATTAGATACCTGTAATGTATGATTTGTGTCAGGTATTTCTAAACTGTACCACATCCACGCCTGTAGTATGATGTGATGTGTAATTAAACACATGTAAACAGAATGTAGCACATTAATACCTACTTTTCTTATCCTACGAGGAAAGATAATGTGAAACTGAACTTATGCAAAATAAAAAACGGGTCTTTTTTCTCACCATCCATGATGACATCATTGGTGATACTGACTTGAGACTCTACCAGAGGGGCCTGCTCCTCACCACGCCGTGTCCTGGAGCGCCGGGGCCGAGTCTCTGTGTTGGGCTGGACCATCAGAGGTTCTTGACGCTTCCTCCGTTGCTTCTGCTCCAGCAGTGCCCTCTGTGGGACAAACAGGGGAACGGAAATAAATAAATGTGCTGGGTTACAATGCACATGACTGGAAAATTACTGCCGGTATATATCGGGCTTCTATTGAGGACATTTAACCAAGCTGGATATCATCAACTCTATGAGCCGAGGTTAATTACATTAGTATGCATGATGAGTTCCAACCTGTGGCTAACAGTAGGTATTGCAAAATACCAGGAAGATAACATTAAAGACCCTGTAATAGACACAAGTGGCAACTTCATTGCACAGTTTAGATTATTCTCATAATACAGCTGAGACTGGTGGAAATTTGGTTATTATATTCTTTTTATGCTGATAGATCCTCCCAAATGTTACATAATGGACCTTTAAGATATCGACTTCGTAACCAAGTGTTACGCCAACCAACTAACTCCCTGACCTACACTGCCGTCTCAAGAGCCACAAGCTGGACAAGTCACATAACAACACATTGTGCAGTAGGAGAAAAGACTGCTACATCCTGTTCAGGCCAATTAGCCATCAGGGTAAATTCTTGCATAGCTACAATAAGTGACTCAATGTAAGAATATTTTATATAATAAAAAAAGGAAACCTTGAAAAACCTTTCAAAATATGAAAAAAAGAAATGGAAATTGATTTATTCAAATAACGAGTATACTGATAAACACCCACACTGTATGGACAATGCAAACGCACTGCACAGCTGATGTGAATGCAGGATGACTCACACAGCAGAAAAATATTAAGAGTGAAATCAAAAGAGAGGGGTAAAAAATAAAGCCATAATAAAAGCCAACAATCATGCCAAGGCCAGAATACCGCCGAGTGCAATGAATGGGTTCACAGAATAGCCCAGATAACGGGTGCTGAGACGGTCTCATTTAGTGTTATTGAAGAATGACTAACAGTCCATCCCACAAAGACTTGGTAAAGAAATGTTTAGCATCCAACGCAACGTGAGCACAGACCTCTTCCTTAACTGGTATGTTTGCCTGATGAATACACAGAATTGGTATATGCTTTAGGCAGTATGGTATTAGTGACTTATGATTTATTTTATAAGTTTCAGTAAGGGTAGAAAATGTATCCTGGTCATGCTGTATCCACTCCCCCACCCCAAGCCCCAGTCTCTGTGGTCAAACCACCCAATGGATTACGCAAGCGCATTAATTAGCGCGTCAAATGCACAACAACAAGCCTTGTTTAGTGATGCTGTTTAGTGAGCTGGAAGAGACCAGGAGGCCTTGTCTTATATTCACCAGACCAAAAAAGCTTTCATAAACCATCAGTCATTGTGCCGATACTGAGAAAATGTCTCTAAGAAATCTGTCCGACCCTCTGTACAACCCCATTAACATCTGCCACCACTGAAAAAGAGGATTCATTTTCACATCAACGTTACAGCACCATAGTGCAAAGAGGCATAGTGCATTGACAGCAGATGAGAAAATGACCCCCATGACCCAACTTTGAGTAAGAGGTAAGAAAAGAAAAAGGTAAAAAGGATGATTAAGGAATAGAAACGGTGTTACCGAATACATTAGCTCTTTATTGTACAAGTGTATGATGAGTCTGGGAGCTTTATAAGCTGGACCTAGATTTGTTATCATTTCAAAAGACTCTGCTTTAAGAGGACCGGGATTTGCATACTTTATGGCTATAAATAAAGGCGACAAATGAATAAAACATAAAGCAGGATTATCATAATCAACATCATTAGTGTTAGTGTAATAAATGGAAGTGGAAATACTGCCAAGTTTCAAGATGCATAACAACAGTGATGGGGGGAAAAAAACACAGAAGACTGCTGATGGTGAAGGTGTATGTAAAACTGAATCTGGCCTGAAGCTGAGCTCCAAATTTTTTGATGTCCTAGTTATTTTCTAGATTCACTTGGTGTGACCTAACTTCTTCTGCCTTTTGTCAAGATACCTGCTATTGAATGAAGGGCTAAAGTAAGGTTTAATGACTTCTTAAGATAGATTTTTACCTGCGCTGTCTACACTCTGGACTAATTTTTCATATGACAGACCAGTTTGTGTTGACTTCCCTTTTAGTTGCTATTTTAAGTTAATCTATTGTTAATCTATTCCATTCTTTTGTAAAGACTCTGTACTTGGCATGTTGAGACCAGGATGTGACTTCATTCTGTCTTTCCTGTATCAGCCAAAGAAAAAGTACACCAAAGATATAAATCTGATTTAAGGAGACATACTGTATATTAAAACGTGTCTCTTTGCAAAAAATCTGAGACTAAAAGTTAAATATGTTAGAAATTGAAATTAGAAGTTAAACAATCTTTGTCTGGATTTCTCTTTCCTATTTCAGACACAGATATTTAATTCATACAAACTGTTATCCTCACACAGATGAAAAGAAAATAATATATAAAAAAGAAATATTAGAAGTTACCAACCCGCTCCATTGACATCCTGAACAAGTGTGAGCCAAAGTTAACAGGTTTTCTCTATAGAAAAAATGTTACAAGTCCCATTTGTCTTGAGGTCAGATGAAACTACATTCTCCCCCAAAGAGCAGCACTCCTGCTGGGCTGGACTCTGGCTCCCTGTCCCTCATTCCTCTCCTGGAACTGAGTTTGACAATCGATAAACCAACAGCCTCCTCTGCACTATGTGGTCCTCTGACAGAAAAAAGGTCTGCCTCTCAGGCGAATGCTGAGCGCCAGAGTGTGTGTGTTTATGTGTGCGCGCGTGTGTGTGTGTGTGTATGTGTATGCGCGGCCACCGTTGCTAACTGAATCAGCAGTCATTAGTGCTCCAGCGAGAGAGAGAGAGAGAGGTTAGAGAGAGAGAGAGAGAGAGAGAGAAGAGAAAGAGAGGTGCACTCAAAGTGAAATACGGTCACAACCACAGTGCTCTGGTTATTATTGTCGAAATGATTTTCATTTTATTATTCGAAACAGGGTGGGAAACATTGAATTGAGTGAACACAGTACAGTAGACACATGGATTTAACTTTTATTGTTTGATATTTATTTATCTATCAATTCTCTACAACCCGCATATGATCCCCCTCTAGGCATAAGTAGACATGTGTGTTTGTCCTCACGAGTTACATAAGAAGAGAAGACTCTCAAGTGAGGCTGGTTGGACTCAGTTGAGAGTGTGCTGTACCACTGAGCCCCACTGGGACCATGGGACACATACACACACACACAAAGCCAGGCACCCTGCACTAAATCCCTCTCTTCCTTTGAACTCACCAATCTGGCCCTCCTCCTTACTGCATAATGTGTGAAATAGTGGAGTGCGGCTTCCAGCTTAAATCAAAGCTCTACACCGCAGCTCTTCAGCAAGGTTTCGGGATAAAGCATCTTACAGAGACGCAGGGGGAAAAGGATGAAAAGAGAACAAATGTGCGACAGAAGAAGGGCTATGTCAGGTAATGGGTGGATAAAAGAAGATAACTACACTTGGGGAGTAAGTAGGTAAAATTTCCAAGTGACTGGGCGGGTGAAAAACAGGAGATTTCCGAATCAACAACATAAATCACTAAATTGCACACCACTGCAGTGATGTTGGAGCTACTCCTGCCAACAGCAGACACCCCCGTGGTGACACAGAACTCAAAGTCATCTCAGCCCTTTAATTTCACCGGATTGATGAAGAATCTTGGCAGGTGCTCACAAATACAACAGGTTAGCTCTCAACCTCACATTGTCTGTGTGTGAGTTAGAAGGCTTAATTAGACTACCGTGCCACATAACAGCTGTGAACTACACCAGATGTTCTTTAAAAGAACAACGACAAAAAAGTCGCGACGTCAGAGTCTAAGGAAAACAATAAAGAGAAAACAAACAGCACAAAAGTGTGAATTGTCAGTGTGTGTTGTTCATTTGTGAATGCAGTTTGGCTTCTTACCTGTTTTTCCAGCTTCTGCTGCATGAGACTGGCACTGTCGTCTTCGATGCCACTACAGAGAAAAAGGAGAAACCTTTCTTATAAAGAGTCTCACACACATTCATCGCTAAAAGAATCTATAACGAATTCGATTTTCCTTATCAAACCAGTAGAGGTCACCACTGTTGTTGCATTAACATCAGGCAATGAAGAACTTTTATCCTGTATGGTCTTCGAGGGAGTTAATAGGGCTTAGTGACAGAAGTGGTGGTTTTAAAAGCATGAATCAGTAGTGTAGGGAGAACTGAAAATATCTATCCTGCAGTAAAACTAAAATAGCCAAGAAATACCCTATATAGATTAAAACCTAAAACCAAATAAGGACATTCTCTGAAAATGATTGCAATTTGGTGAAAGAAAGAGAATGGGAGCAAGGAGAAGAAAAAGGACTGGGCTCCAGCTGAGAGAATGCCTTGCAGTCTTTGTCCTCTGGGCATTTACCCTGGACACCTATCTGAAGGGACTGGGCCCATGTTGCTTGGCTACCACGAGAGAGAGAGAGAGAAGGGCAACAGCAGGAGTCTGTACTGTCGAAGTCAGAGACCTACAATATTTCTGTCAAGCACAAGTCACCCACATACACTGATGTAATGTGTGGGTCACAACTCTTTTCTTCCATCCTTTCCTGTCGGGTACATCTTTAAATATCACATGTTCTGCTGAGCTGAAATACAAATTTTTTATATAGAAAAGGATTAAGGGTATAGGATGAGAAGTTTTCAAATCATGCTGCCCATATCCGGCAAGCTCATCGGATATCTGACTTGCTCATTCACACTCTTTATTCCAATCTCCCTTCACACATCCTCTCCACAGCTCTAGTGTGTAGGTGATGACACACACTACTTAAGAACCTCAAGCCCGATGCTGGCTGACATCACAGCTCATCTCTGAAGGACAGTCACTGAATGCCAAAAGGCGACGAGTTCCGGAAACCAATTTAAATCAAGAAGAGCTCTCGTGCTTTAACAAGCCTGTTCCACTCTTATGAAGGCCGGTGCGTTACAATTAACATCATCATCTGTAGCCCAACAGCCAGCACAGGCTTGAGTCATGATCTGGCGATTCTACATCAAAATGAGTAATCTCGCACCAGTGTGTCGTATCATCACTCGTAAATCCCTCTCCATGTATCCCTCACTGCTGATATTGGCAAACACATGGGTCCCCGGGGAGGCCACCTGAGAGCAGGTGCTGGTGACAGGGAGGGGGGCTATAGCAAGGAGGATGATTGTAGTTTTTAATTACTCTTAAGGACAGAGATGGGTGATGGTTGTGCAGGTGAACTCAACAGCGAGACCTGGGAGAGATCACTGTGGCCCGTTGGATAGGATGCTTCTACGAGGCTGGCTTTTACCAAAAGACTGCCGTATTTACAAAACAGTCTGTCTCAAACTAATATAATTATGTCTAATAATCAGACGAACACATACATAACTGACTGTGTTTACTTAGATTTCCCATTGTGCCATGATCATGCTGTTTCCATGCTACAAAGCACAGTCTGATTAATGGCTGAAGACCACATCCTCTACATTAAATTATAACAGGGTTTCATTGTTGTTTCCAACCTCAAACACAGTCTTTCTGTCTGTAACATTTTGTTTTCCCAGACAAAGACATTCCACGTGACAGCTACAGATGAAGCACACTAAGTTTGTTTGCGGCCTTGACATCAATCGTAACTGATGAAAGAGCCTTTTGCACATCACTGACATGTTATGAAGCAGTTTGATTGCCATGTGTCCAAAGAAAAGTCAAACAAATTTAAAAATGCATCTAAAATGGAGGTCCTTCACATATCTTACTGTGATTATTCATTCTCTAGCAATCAAGACTATTATAATAAAATCATTTTTGTTTGCGTTTATATCATTGCACATTGAATATTTTTGGGTTTTGGGCTGTTGGTCAGACAAAACAAGCCATTTAAAGATGTTAACTTGGACTTGAAACTATTTCATAGACCTAGTTGTTTAATTGATTAATTGATCACCCCAGAACGTATTCAGCATATTAATAAATATTGAAAATAATCATTAGTTGCAGCCCTACAAACACCCATGTGTGCTGTTACCACATCCACAGGAAAACAACAAAATAAATGCTGCATGTTATTCAAAATGTGTTAACCTGGTAACCAAGTAACAGATTGGAAAAGGAAAGTGTTGTGAGTGTGTGTTTGGGCGAGTGTATTGCTGCCTACCTTGCTGTTGAGTTCGAGGAGAAGCTGGCAGAGCTGGAGGGTCTTGAGGGAGAATGACAGTTTTGCACCAAGGTAGCCAGTAGTACAGGACATGGAAAATAAAAAAATAGGTTCAGTAACAAGATAAAAATTGAACAAGAACTCTACGGGCTATGAATAATACTCCATAGTGCTATAAGCTTTACAATGATTCATCTATAGCTCGATGAAACAATAAAGCTGTTAGAGTCAACTGTATTATTCTTTAGGAGGACAGTAATTATCTGATTAATTTAAACAAGCTGATAATGAATGAAAAGACTACATCCTACAGAGTATTATCATAAATACTTCAATCTGCTGGGGGTCGAGAGAATGTCCTCGACCACAAATCTTCTTGGAAAACATACGCACGCACACAAACACACTTAGAGTGGCTCATCACCGCTGTGAGTGATCAATGTTTCATTAGTCCATCACAGCTTGGGTGACAAGAGAAAGACACGCCACTGTTGTCCCTTCCTTGTGTGTCAGACCAGGGTAACCATGGAGATTTCAGCTCCGTCAACAGCGCACCTCCACCAGCATTGATTAAAAACCTGCAGCCAGTTCTTGGGCTTCACTGTAATTGGAGGCCTTAGCACTGTGCTGTAAAGATTTACAGACTGACAGAGGCAGGGGTCCACCAGAGCGTGTCATTTGTTTTCAGCTGCACGTCAACATATCTTTTTCAGAATTTTTTCTTTACATTTGGCCAGAGGTTTTTGTGAGAAAATAATCAACTGTGCAATTCAATATCATCAACCTTTAAGAGAAAATGTAGAGCCTAATATGATTATAAATAATGAAATGCTAATAACTGTGTATCACACTACTGTTGATTCAGGGTGCAAAAGAGGACGGGCTAACAAGTGACTTGATGACAGAATCAGAGCTATTAAGAAATTGCATGCCATTGACTAGAGGGGTCTTATTAATCTTATGAACACGGCCCATTTTGACTGTTCATTTTAATTAAATGCCTTTCACTTTCCCACTTCAAAAGGAAATTGGAAAGTTGAATGAGCATAACTTAACGTTGGCCACAGGCAATTCAGCTTCCAACTTAGAGAGGATACAGAATAAAAGGAGGACTGATAAGATTTAATCCTTAAATCCCTGTGGATCAGTGCGTGGCAACCAGAGAGAGAGAAAAAATGATACCAAAATACACTTTGAAAGAATTAAAAGACAAGCACAGTGTCTGTCCTCTCCCAGCGTGAAGCTAAGCAGTGCCTAGTGAGCTTTAGCTTTTCACCTAAAAAGTTCACTTATGTAAAAATGGTCAGAAACAAGTGCAACTGTTACTACGTCCACACTAATGTGTTTGTTTACAACTGAGCAAGCATGAAACAGTTCAGTTTATCCCTCTATCCATACAGCTGGTGGGCACAGATTTTGGTATAAGCCCAATGGTACCAAACCTAACACGGCAACATCACTGTTATGACAGACAGCACAATTACTTCACCTGGCTGTTGTTTGCCAATAAAACGTTACAGCACATAACTCACTGTACTGATTATTCAAACCAGATTCACCCTGGTGTTGATTTTTGAACTTTGGACAAAGACAGGCTAGCTGATATTCCTATGCCTCCAGTCTTTATGCTGAATTAGGCTAACCGTGTTTTGACTGACATGCAGGGTCTAAAATGAACACCCGCCAAGTGCCAAACGCGTGTACATTTTGGATTTGGCAGAAAAGATAAATTGGGGTCACCGGCCAGGTGGAGAAATTACAGCGCAGGGCCAGGTTTACATCGCTGTGTTTTATGTGTACTGGCTGAGACTAATGTGACCCTTACTGTCCACAGTACCCTATCATGACATTAGCGAATCAAATCAAAGAAGCTTCCTACTATTTGGTGCTTTCTACACAATGTCTGTCTAAGAAACATCTGCTTTACATGTACACATTCCCAGTGTTAAGCCACCAAAAAATTAAACAAAGATGAGGAGAAAAGTCACAGAGGTCAGCATTTTAGCCAAGATCCTGGCTAATATATGGAGCTCAAAACCATGATGCAGAAAATATTAACCTCACTCTCAATGTTAAACTAAGTCCTTTAAAATGTTTGGCTTTTAATGTGAAACAGCTGCAGGTTTTTAACAAGCAACTAAAGTGTCTGTTGTCAGTTTGTCCCCCTATAGAGCTTTTTCTCATCTCAACTGAGGCTATGTAAAAAAAAAAAAGAAAAAAAAAAGGTTTATGGGGGAAATTCATATCCAAATGCAATGAACAAACTAGCTGAAACCTTGAAAAACTGGATCACTAATAAAGGCAAAAAATGTGATGTTACATACTGAATACAATACTGCTATTATATTAGATTCTCGACATCACTGGCCTTGACAAATAAAATTCAAAGAAGACGCCATAATTTCAATTGTTTCAGTGATCAGCTGGAGGGATATTCTAAGCACATCCTTTGTTACATGATTGCTCCAATCAAGCAGGCAACAGCACACGAAGAAGAAGAAGAAGTAAAAAAAAAAAAAAAAAAAAAAAAAAGGTTGGACACACATACGCAAATCACCAACTCTGGTTACAGCACAGTCACAGCCTGGCGCTCTGAATAAGTAACGACATGGTGGCCGAAACATGAGCGAGAGGCACATCTTTGACTGCAGGACAGCCATTCTGCTGGCCAGAGGGATGGAGCAGTGACTGGAAGAAACATTATAGTAGCACTGACCTCTGTTCTGGCACAGGCCACTCTGCAATTCTCAATCCTGAAAAGTCAATACAGGTTGGGGAACTAAAGCCAAAATGTGTTTGTCTGTGTTAATGCAAGAGCCAGTTGTCCTGCTGGAACAAATAAACCGTAAGTCTTTGAGAACAGAAAAGTAGGGCTATTTTCAAACGACTGCCACTAAAGTACCAAGATTATAATATATGTATGTGTGCCTGTGTGTGTGTGTGTGCAACTACCTGTATGACCAGCGGCTGTAGACAGGCTGAGATCCCCCATCCTTTACAGTGTCCATGGATGCGGCTGCAGGAATGCTAGTCCAGGGCTCTTCTATCTACGGTAATACAAAAATCTTCATCTACACTGCAGCTCAGAGTTACTGTGCTGTCCTACCTAACAGTAAGCCCTGCAGCCTCCAACATCTCTGCTATTATGTGACTAAGAAAGAGTAGCTACGTCCCACCCGGGGGAGTGACAGCTACCAGTGCCGAGGCAGACTGAGGTTGGGAGGCTCGGAGCTGTTACCATGACTTCACACTTGAGGCAACGCACAAGGAGTCAGCCAGGGATAGGTGTGAAAGTGACAGGCCTAAATACTAGTGTCACAAAGATCAGGTTTAATAGAACAAAGTCTGAATGTTCTATTAACTTCAGTGAAGTTACTTAAGCCGGACTTTGATATAAAGTCACTCTTTCTTAGTGGCAGAAAGTATTTCTAAAAAAGTTAGAATCAGTTAAACTAGTCACTATCACCTAAGTTCCCCTTATTTTACTGCCCGACTACTTTCCAGTAACTTTCTGAAAGGCTCAGCAATCAGTCATAGCCCATTTCCTCTGACTCATAAGGGGGCTCCCACATTTATCAAACCACAGACGCACATTCTGTCTGGCATCTTAGTTATATGCAATAGCTGGAAATTTATTGAGCTTTAAATAGTCCAAACCGCTTCTAAAAATTAATGCCCCATCAACATTACTGAATTACTCTATGTTCAACTGTCAGCATGTGAGTAACATATTCCAGTCTGTGTTCCTTGGTTGATAATATTGAAAGGCATATGCTGTTTTAAAAAGGTAACTCAATAAACTGAAACCTATAGATTAACCTTTCTAAAAACAGACACGGTGTGGCGGCCTTAATCTAGTTGCTAGGAAACCAGATTCTCCCAATAATTTTTTCTATGCCTATTTGCAAGAGCGAGAGAAAGAAAGCACAGAGAAAATGAAGAGTATGTTTGTGTATGTTTGTCCTGAGAGACAGCGGTAAAATGACATATAAGTCAACTGATGATAGGCAGGGGACTCATTCACCAGAGGGAGTAATTACTGAAGTCAAAACAAATGATGGAAATAAGTTACAAGAGTTGATAATAATACAGTTTCCCTCGGGAACCCCAAGGCGCACACTCCACTCATGACTCTCCTACAATGACGCTTTACTTTGTTTAGGCAGCTTTAATGAAACGTCAGCTACCGACCATTAAGTGTTTGGCAAATTTGGCTTCTTGACACTTGGTCATAGCAAATTCAAAACAAAACTTTAACATGGTGCGGACAGATTTGTCATGAACATACAGCACAGAACTATAAGTTCAGTGAAATGTATGCAATGCTGCGGCATTCATCGAGGAGTGTGAGTGAGTCCAGTACAAATACCAGAGATGTTTCTTCAGTGTCTCAGTGCATGAGTTGCAGAGTGGATTACTCTGGCCAACTGGGTCAGATGTGCTTGGAATCCACAACCACAGAAGATCACAACTGAACCACAAGCCATGCTTGAAGTTGCAGAGGTCAACCGCCATGCTTGTGCAGAAATTTAAAAAATTGATTTATGGTTACGATGGTCAACTGGCAGTTTAGTCTGCTACATTTTCCCACGGTGCCGGCAACTGCTTGCTTTGCTAACTCTTATTGCTTATTAGCAATCTTTCTAACCTTGTTCCGTATTGTACTCCGTAAAGACTGTACACTCTATAGGATATTCTAGACTGTTATAATGGATGCTTTTGTGATTGTGACACTGATGGTACAATATATTAAATAGTGGATATTATACTGCGTAACTGCTGTACCCGGAATCAAAGCAAGGCAAACACTCAACTATGGTTAGTAGAGAAGAGACTCGGCAGAACTAGCTTCAGTTGTCAGCAATAACAACATAGGGAACTGTTAGCTATCCTCACCTCTCAGCTGATGATTCTAGGTCAATACTGGAAGTCTTAGGGCCCTATAAAAGTACAGATGCCCCATTTCTCATTTAGGTTATGTGCTTCATTCTGATCACTAGCCCTGGCAATGATAATACGGTGCGACAAAGGAACAGAAAACATCAGTCTCCCACTTCAGTCTCAACACTACACTCATGTAAGCAGTCATTGCAACACTATTTGTGATGCTGTTATGAAAACTGTCGCTCTTCAGTTGTGTCACCTCTGCAACTCACTCAGTCAGTTAAAACGGCTGAAACCAGTGAACGAGAATGACAATGAAAATTAATTAAATTCTAATATTATCTTATATTAAAGAGGTCCCTGTCCATTTGGAAAAACACACTACTACAACCAATAATAATACTAACTGTAATTAATACATGTGTGAGAGATTAATAAAAAGGCAACAAGAAGCAGAGAAAAGGCCCCTTATTCGAACTCTCTTTGAAGGTTGATCATTATAAATGCTGAGTCAGCCATCTGTGAACTTTAACACAAACTGTTGAAGGTTGACCCTACAGAGCAGTGTGCATCACAGCTGGTGCGCTAATCGGGAATGAATCCATCGCTGCGTCTCACGTTACTAAACAGACACAGCTACGATGGCAAGAGTTCTCCCTGTGTTTAATCGCAGTGTAAAACATAAACAGGGTGGAAGCTATATGCCAAGTCATTTTTTTTAGCTCGTGAACCAACCGACACTGACTGGCACCACCATCAGATTATGGATTTTGTGTCGTACAAAGACAGTTAATAATAATAACATTACTAATATTCCTATTCTTAGTGCAATATGCTATATGAAACATAGCTTTTCAACAACCCTGTAACTGTAATTTCCCTCGGGATAAATAATACATTTTATTTATAAGCGCTTTTCTAAATACTCAAAGACATAAAAAACATAAAAGATATAAAAAAAAACATAAAATAAAGCTTGTTGAATCTTGAATCTTGAATCTAAACATCATCTTCCATCACATGTCTATGCCTTGAATGACAACCTTTACCTACAAACAGGAAGAAAAAAAAATCAAATAATCAGAGTAGGACTGTAACAGGAAAGGGTGGTAGCTGCTTTGATTTTTATCTCTCTGCGAAATGAAAGCAGCTACCATCATGCACTCAGAGCCACACACAAAAACACATGACCCCCCTTAGCCCGCAGCTTTCTGCCCACTCTGCTGGTCAGAGTGGACATCAGAAGAAAACAGTGGAAAGCACAATGGTGTATTATGCTGAGATGAATTTGTGTGTGTTGAGTCTAACTGCGTCTATCAAACGTTTGCTACATGTTTGCATTCAATCCCTCTTGTTGCTTTTACATGTAGAATGAATGTAGGAGAAAAAAAATCCATGTTTCCTATTTACTCACTTAATACTTACCTAGTTACTAATACCTTAAATCTATAGCTTTAGTAGCCCATTTGGGTGGTGAGGACATACACTACCTTACAGGAATGCTTTGACACAGAAAACAGAAAGGCAACAGAAAAGGCATGCTCAAACATGACATGCAAACATTTGTTTCTCCCCCCTTTATGCCTCTCGCTTCATTGTATTTAAAGCCAAACCTAGCCAACGTTACAGTTACCACTATGTGTGCTGCAGATCGCTTGATACATAGTAATTAAACAGAAACAGCTGGATTCCCTCTGGTCAACCCACACTCCAAAACTCAAAGCAATCCTACTTTATTTTACTCGTCAAAATACACACATATACTAATTTGTAACAACGAATACCTGGCTTAACTATCTAGATATGTAATAAGTAATTTTTTTTCCATTGCCTTTCACATTTGTTCCACATGAACAGCCTGGTGGATTTATTATCGGAGAGGACACCCATTACACGCTATTAAAGCCCTATTAGCGTCCTGGGTGCATTTCCATCGTTTTCCGTCGTTCAGTTATAACGTTAAACCATTTGAGACGCGATTTTGTGCTGAAACCACGACCGTTAGCTCGCTCACTGAGACACTGACATTCAATGAGCAACACGTATCGTCCCAATAGGAGAAGAATTAGTAAACACACGGACATAGTCACTATCATTTGTGTGTTTTTGTTTTTTTTTCTGCCAGCTGTGGAATTGTTATAACGTTAGCTAGCTTGTTATCATTAGAGGCTAACGTTAGCTGCCTCTACTGTAAGCAACGGGGTGCCTTTCTAAAAGTTGTGGGCGACAGTTAAGTTTTTTACGGTTAACTCATCTGCCAGCTTCTCATTCCGCAGCTGGCCAAACAAAACGAATACTAACGTAATGTACAAGCCACGTATGTTTTATTTTACCTTATGCTGTAGTAACTCATGTTTATCCACGGTTGCTAGGGAAGATCCTCGTGCGGCAGAAGACTTTTTGTGGACGCGGTTGAGGAGAACTCTGTAACTCGGTCCTTAGTAACCGAGCACACCAGCAACGGGCGTTCCTATTGGTCTACCGATCTCTTAGGTGGAAGCTGATTGGTGGACACTCTGGCGAAAGGGTGGTGAGTTGTCCTCTGTGGGGAGATCTTAATTATTTTTCTCTTCCTTTTTACCTTGAAATCTATCGTTTCAATGTAAAGATGCCTTTCAGCCATGAAGAGCAAACTTATTGTTATATATACATATATATATATATATATATATATATATATATATATAAAAAAAAAAAAAAAAAAAAGATGACTATAAAAGGATTTGGTACAGTGACCAGTAACCATGGCAACACATACCGGTAGTCCAGGAAACTCTCTGCATCTGTTACAGTTACTGATGTCCCTCCACTCCGATATTGTGATAAAATACATGTTTCCCCAGAATATTTGCTTTAAAAGTGTATAGTTTTGTGTTGCTTTCACTATCCCTGCCCTCCCATCACTAACTGTAGGCTGAGAGACGTCTTCAATCCACAATTTAGTTAGCTCTTCTGACTTATACATTTATTCCATATATTTTATGCAACACATTTGGAATACAAACAGGGATTTCTGTTACATTGCTCACAATCAACACCAACATTGTTTAATTGATCCTCCTGCAGCACCGTTGGTTTTATTAACACCACTGACTCAAGATTTCATGACACTGACAAAATGATATAGCGTTTGATGGATATTCAGTTACGGTTCATATGGAGGCAACCTTTTTACATTTATGTGCCTTTTAAAGGCTGAAGCAATGAAAAACAGACAGACAATGGACTTGTGTTGTTAGATGTCAAGATTGGGTTTCAATAGAAGGACTGCCTCTGATTTGCCACATAATCTGGAACAGTACAGTATAATTGGGATCTTGATTCTTACAATCACAACTACCAGGGCTGTGCAGAGAGAGTGGGTGTGAGAGAGTTATTTAATCGGCTTATTATTATTATTATGAGGTTAAATCAAAGTAAGCCATCAGTGAACTGAAATGTCATAATCACTTTAGAAAGCAGCAGCTCTGTTCAGTGCAATCAAAATAGTTCATAGAAAGAATTCTATCCAATTAATAATCAGTATCTCTTCTCTGTAGAGATCAGTGCTCTCTTTCTTTTCTCATCAGCTCCATACATCAGCTGTGAGTGAACACATCTGAATCAGAGAGATGGCCCCGCTCTTTCATCAACAACATCAAACCCCTCCTCCTCCTCCATGTCACCTTCACCCCATAATCCCTCTCTGGTGTGTCAGACACCAAAATGTCAGGTGGCTGATTACATGGTGGTGTACATGATTGAGGCACAAGCAAGTGTACAGAGGCTGAGGAGGGACAACTTCTCCCTTCTTGTATTACTTCTGGAGTGTCCACATCAGGCGGTGGACCAACACCGCTGACCTCAGAAGTGATGAACTCATTGGAGGCAGGTGTTGAAGAACCATCTGCTGGGATTCCACATCTCTCTGTGACTTGAATAGATGGAGTTTGAAGTTGATCCAAATGTCTGCTGGAGGATGCGGCAGCGGCCGAGAATCTCTCCACATTTCTTTTTCTGATTGAGGTCGTCTGTCTCTTCGGTGTGTCTGAGAACTGTGCACTTGAAACGGTCCTTTTGATTCGGCATGATCCCCGTGGTTGATTTCCTGCGTCAGACACAACAGTACGCTCTGTATCTTTCTTTGCGCGTGTGCTTTTTGGTTGATTAGCCTGGTCTCTTGACCTTGTCTGAAACGTTAATGAGGGGAATTTGCACACGCTGTTTTTCCTGGACAGCTGACTGCAGCTGTCAAGGATGCTTGTCGACGAGTGGCATTTTCTCCTCCCACGCCTCACTGGAGGTGCAGCTGCAAGTGAACCGTCGAACTGCGGGCTTACCTAAGAGATTAAAAGTACAGTAATCAAACAGCCGAATAGAACCTGAGTCACATATAACACATATCGTTCTGTGAAAGTACAGGAAGGTCAGGTTGATCTGCAGAGCCTTTGAGCTACAATATATTCAGTGACGTACACAGGCACACTTCAGCAGTGTGTTTGCATGCAATGTCTGCAACCACAGAGTCATGTTGCACCCCAATGGCGCTCATATGAATCAACAACTTACCCAGGAATTAAGAGCTGAGCTGTTGTGTGCTTCTGTCTCGGTGAAGAACTCTTTAGGGTTGAGCGCTGCTCGCACTTCAGGCACATTTTGGAGTCTGGCTCCACACAAAGTCCGCTCCAGGAACAGCAGGGGAGGCTTCTCTGTCTTTATGGCTTTACGTGGCATTAATAGAAATCATTCCTGGAGATCCTATAGTTGAGACGAAGCATCATCTCAATCAGTATATTCAAATATCTGACTTTTACTGTTCCCACACGCAGATTAGTGTTTACGGTTCAATGTCCACAGTCAGCTGTTTACCTTTTAACGTTATAATTCGTAGATACAAACCCGATATTATACATACCTTAATGTGATACTAAGCAGAAGTGATGGCCACCATTGCAAACAATACATAAATGCATAAACAGTTAGTAATTCCTCTTAAATTGTCTGCTATACACTTTTTTTTTGTCGTCGCCTTGTTACTTTTTATTTCCCGGCTTCCTTCATTGTCGTCTCTGATTGGATTGTTTCCATCGTGGTCTTTTCTTCCAGCTGCTATTGGTGGACTCTCGTACCACGTGGTCAAAGTGACGGAGGCAGCACCCACAGCGCCAAAATTCAAAAACGTTTCTGAATCGACCCGACGGCATGTAAATAACGCTAAATGGAAGAATATAACAGATATCATGGACCTTTTGATTTGTTGTCGAAAATGAACCGAGTGTGGCAACTGCTAGTGGGAGTCCAGCCAAGCGGAATTGCCTGAAATATTCCAATAACATGAAGGTTTGGCTCTTGTTTTAGCTTTGTTGTTCGTTACAATAGAGTAGTTAGCCAGGTAGCTAACAGGCTGTTACGCGATGACTAGCCTCCTAGCTATGTCAGCTAACTTAGCTTACCTTCCAACCACATATGAAAGAAAGCTGTAACGTTAGCCAGACTCCCCAGGTGCCAAAGTTAACCTGTATATTCTTCAGATGTTTCCTCCAAATGAGGGTAATCTTCATTTCGTAGCGCGATGCTAACTTACATGCGTGTCAAATCGCTGTCAGACTGAACTCCATTTAAGAAATATGGCATTGTACTGTATTCATAACGAATTTTTAAAATGCACATGGGTATAAATAATTTGAACTGTTTTATCAATAATTTGAAACATGTCTTTTTATTCGGCACAGCTAACATAAACAATGTAGCGCTTGTTTTAATGCAGTTTCAAATCCATTAACTTGCACCGCTTCTTGTCGCCACACTGACTGTTAGCCAACGTAGCTAACTAACGTTAATGGGCGACAGCAGTTAGAAAAGCCTTGTGAATCGGTTGTATAGTTTGGAATTATTTTGAGATGGTAAGGCTGTCTGGTGGGTTATTTATAAGCCGATTTTTTCCCCCCACCCCACCCTCCTGAACTATGAATTCATATAACCTTTGGCTGTTGGCCAGGAAATCAGCGGTAAACGTTAAACGTCGCCAACTGCAAACATGTAACGACTGTTGTTCTAGAAGGCATGAGTCGCCAGGAAACATAACCAACTGAAAATATAGGCTGCTGAACTGAGCAACTTCACATCTAAACAACAACAACAACAACAACAACAAAAAAAGGGGAAGCTGGATTTCATGTTTTGATTATTAACATACAGCACCAGTCCCGCCAGTGTATAGTAAGTTATATTCTGACTGGTATTTGATATGAATCGATTTCTTCGTTTGAGTCTAAATCGATTAACGTTGTTAGCGTACGGAAGAACGGTGTGAATCCAGCCTGTGGTAACTGTTAGCACCAACTGTCTTGGCATTGACTTTACTGAACTTTAATCTACTGGTAATTCGACTTACACAGGCAGTGATACATGTTGAATTCTTTTCTTTCAGTGTTTAGCAGGCTTTAAAACAATCTACGTATTTGCCTTTTGTTATATTTTGTACAGAATACCAGTGAACACCAAGGAGTATTTTCAATGATTTGATGACCATGAGACGGAGCCCAAGGAGACCCCTGATCCTCAGAAGAAGAAAGTTGCCTTTTCAGCAAAATGATCCACCAGCAGCTGAATCCCAAAGCCAGTGTGGTGCATCAGGCTCCACAGAACCCTCGGAATCCGCTGCCAGTCAGTGCTTCCCCGATGGAGTCCGCATTATGGATCACCCTTCCATGTCTGATACACAAGTGGTCGTCATTCCCAAAACGGCAGACCTCCAGAGTGTTATCGGGGCCCTCACTGCGAAAGGCAAAGAGTGTGGGGTCCAGGGGCCAAACAAGTTCATCCTACTGAGTGAGAATGGCAGCCATGACAATGGCTCTTTTTGTCAGCCTGCTGCTGAAGGGGATGACACCTCGTCCACTACAGTTGGACAACCAGTGAAAACAGAAACTATGCGCTCTCCGGATGCTAAACCCCTCACTGGAATTAAAACATGTATGTGTTTTTTCTTTTAATTCCACTGACTTTGTTATATATCTGTAATCCTTCCTTTGTTGAAACAATAATAATTTCTGCTTTTCTTAATTAGTGAACAAGGATCTGGATGGGGGTCCTTTAGACGACAGTCTCACCAATATTCAGTGGCTGGGCAGAATGAGCACATGTGCCTTAGAACCAGATCCTGACAAGCAGACATCTAACAAGGAGAACCAGGTCCTAAATTCACAGACCTTTCAGGTCAGCTGCTCCTTCTTGTTACCTCAGTGTGATTGATGTGAATTGTGCATGTGTGTAGTGTGCAAGGGAACACTGATCTCAGCATGTCCATTAACCATTGACCATTCTTTAACTAGTTGGTCCCCCTATAATGTAACATCAATGTGTTTTATAATGAATCTCCATATTATTGGGATTGCAGAAAACAATTGCTGCTACAGTTGAAATGATTTAATGACCCCAAGGTTGAATTAAAAGTTTGGATTGTCTGATTTTAATTTAAGGGTAATTGTAGATAATTAAAGTAAATAAATGCTAATAACGTAGCAGCTCAAAAAAAAACTCATCAAGCTGCAATATCTCATGTGTAATAGTTTGGTTGTAAGTAAGATGCTGTAGATTTGTACCAAAGTACCACAGTTGACATCTGTGCAATATCGTAGTTACTGTGAATAATGAGGTTATTGTGATGGCTTAATTGAAGTTAATTTGAAATTTGAATTTAATTATTTCCTCACATACATGGGCCAGGCAATTTTATAGGTGTTTTATAAGTTCTATTTGCTTCAGCATAATGTGTTTGTGTGTCTTTGCAAGACAGAGAAAATGTATTTCTGTAGCACATTTCAAACCCAAAGTGCTTTACTGAGTCTGCTCCATAAGTCTCAATGCTGCTCACCTTTTATTACAAATGGTGCTGTTTATCTGGGCTGATTTTTTTTTTACCTTTTTTACATTTGTAAGCCAATTGAAGATGCATCCAGGCATAAAGATTTTTTAGAAATCCTGGCTATGTTTAAATTGATCTAAAATAATCTGTATCATTTAATACATGTGCCATGTATTTAAGACAGTTTCTTTTTCTTTGTTCCTTCTTTCTTTCCTCGTTTCTTGCACAGACACAAAATACACATATCAGTTCAGAATCTGTTCAACAACCTGTGTCAGAGAGGCCACCATATTCCTACATGGCCATGATCCAGTTTGCAATCAACAGTCGGAATACCAGGAGGATGACACTGAGAGAGATTTACATGTGGATTGAGGACCACTTCCCTTACTTCAGAGAGGTGGCCAAACCAGGATGGAAGGTACTTTAGAACTGAAAAATAAATGTATCATCTGTGGACGCACAGCAAATAGCATATTTGAGTATCACTGACTGAAACACGAGTTTTTGTTTTGTTTTGTTGCAGAATTCCATTCGCCATAACCTCTCTCTACACGACATGTTCATTCGCGAGACGTCACCAGATGGTAAAGTTTCTTTCTGGACTATCCGGCCTGAGGCCAACCGATGCCTCACTCTTGATCAGGTGTACAAGGTGATTACAACTGACCTTTTTTGTGGGTTTTTTCTTTATCTATTTGATGTCATCATTATCATCCATCGTGTCAAGGGAAACTTTGTGTCACATGATATAAAAGCTGAAAGATATATTCTAGGTGCTTAACTTCCCTTTTTATATAATTTCCAGCTTATTCCAGCCATGTTTTGTATACCCAGAGAAGCTGCAGTGCTTTCAAATTAATTTTGGACTCCTGTTTTCCAATCTTAATGGTTTTCTTGCCTTTCACTCCACATCTCTCTCTACAGCCTGGTTGTGACCCCATGACTGCTCCTGTTCCGGTGCCAATGCTTTTATTACCCCACCAAGTAAGATGGATTTACCTTTCTTTCAGTTCTCTAGGAACAGTCTTCATCTCTGCAGTCAGACAGAAGAAAGCAGAAAAGGGACAGAAAGTCAGAAGATTTCCTCTGTCATTTGCCGTTTTTTGTCACCAGGAGGTCTAGGGAAATCGTTTTGTTGCAGGAGGAGTTGATATGAGCAGCAGAGGGGCTGAAGTCACACTGAAAGACTAGTCTGATTTGACACCGTCCAACAAAGAATGTGTACACTCAGAAATGTATACATCACTCCTCCATAAAGTGTAGGGGAAGTTATAAGTGTCTAACTTTGACATTTTTGTCTGTTCTAGCTTGACAAACCCTAAAGCAATGGAGAGAACGCAGGTTGTCACTGTGGTGTAGTCAGGAATGAGCGAGCACAGTAAGGCCACTGAGGCAGAACACTTCTCTGTGATGTGATGTGATTTCTTATTTTTCACAGCAACAAAAGAGGATGCTTCCTGATGCAAGAAAAACTCCAACTGGCTCTGGTGAGTTAACAGAGGTGGAAGGAGTTTGATAGAGTTAAATGGGGAAAGAAAATGCAAATAAATGTGTTTTTTGTTTTTAAGTTTAAAACTCTGCTCTGACTTGTCTTTTCTACGTTCAGAGAGAAGGATGAAACCTCTTCTCCCCCGAACCGATTCCTACTTGGTTCCCATCCAGCTCCCCGTCGCCTCCTCCGTCTATCTGCCATCCTCATCGGCCCAGTTTCCCACCTCCTGCTCGCAGCAGAAACACAACACTTCACGGGGAACGAAGAGAGTGCGGATAGCTCCTAAGGTAAAAACTTTGTCATGTATTGTATGCAAATGCACACTGTTGTCTAGACTTTACCATGAACAAGGACCCAAGGACACAGTTACTGGTAGAATTGTAAAGTCCATGATTGTATGTCTGACAGGTGACACAAAATGACATCCCAGCCGTGGTAATGTATCCTCAGAAGAACAAAGACCTCAAGGAGAAGGTGAAGGAAGAGCCGGAGTGTATTCCAATTAAATGTGAGACTCCTAAATCCCTTCCGAAGAGACAAGCCAGCAGCTCCCGCCGTAAACAGCGCCTGGTTCACTCTCTGCACGAGGAGCCTGTGCTCCTCTGCCCCGATAATACTTTCTTTGACTCTGGCGTGGCCTCCGACGCTTCAACTTTCCAGGACATGCGAGACAGTGAGCCGGACGAGCACCAGCACGAGCAGCGCAGCCCCGATCGGGAGTTAGCCTTTAAGACCCCCATAAAAAGCAGCAGCCACCTGACCTCTTCCACACCCAGCAAGCCCCCCTCTGTCTTGCCTGAACCCTGGAAAGTGACCCCCGTGAGCAAAGGGAACCGAAATGTTCTGGACTTCAGCCCCATTCGCACGCCAGGTGGTCCTGCAGTCACGCCGCGGCACGACTACACCACCTTCAGCTTCAACAGCACTCCCTTTAAAGACTGGCCTCTGTTTAGCTCCCCCAGAGAGCTGCTCACATCAGCTCCCCCCAGAGTGACCGGACCAACAGACTCTCCCATGGAGTGCCTCAAAAGCAGCTGCTCCAGAGAGCTGCTTCAGGCGGGAGGCGCCACACCCGCTAACCGCTCAGTCACGGAGGGCCTAGTGCTGGATACAATGAATGACAGCCTGAGCAAGATACTAGTGGACATTAGCTTCTCTGGTCTGGATGATGAGGACTTGGGTATGGCCAATATCAGCTGGTCCGAGTTCATCCCTCAATTAAAGTAGTTTTTTTTTTTTTTAAAACACTATAGTTGGGGAAACCCCACACAGACACAACAAAGCAGATGCAAATGTGGGAAAAATGATAATATATTTTAAAACATTGATAAACTGTACACTCAAATTTTAAGAAATTGTCAGAATTGGTTCATAGAGACTATAGCAACTGGATTAAAATGAAAATTACATTGCTGATTTTAGAATGACTCAATTTGGTCAGAGTGGGACAAGCAGTTACAGATAATAAGACTTATCACCAAGAATATGAAGTATACTCTTAGAATATCATCAATACTGAAGATAATTAGTTTTTGCCAGTCAGAAGAAGTTGAGTTAATTGGCCAGGAGATAAATATTAGATGACCTGATTGGCGTATGGATTAAAGATAAAATCCCTAATCTTTTGTCACTGCTGTAGTCATTCGTTTGAACCGTTTGTAGCTTTAACGTTCAAAATGCAAAAATGTTTTGCTTGTTTTCTTTTGCATCTGCTTTGCTTTCCCCTGGATGTTTGTCTGCTGTTGGGAATAAAGTTTAAAAAGAAACAACAACAAAAACTAATGAATGACGGGGACACTTTAATATTAGCTACCAGGTCAAATCAGCAAGCTGCTTACTTGTCGTCCCTCTAATTGTTTCTCTCCTCTTTCGGGCTTACTTTTTCAACGCTTCCATCACTCATTAACCGCCTTTTATCCGTTTTTTTTTTTCTATCTGTAAAACCTCCCATGTGGAAACTTAACACATGGTCCTGTTTTCTTTCATTTACCCTACCTGTAATCTCCATCTGTACTCTTGAAGGAATCGCTTGAGAGGAGAAATATATCTATGTGTATATGTATGTTGATTTGCACATTTTAATATATAAGTTAGCTTTTACATATGTAAATGGAGAGACAATATATTGCCCGATAAGCCAGTGAGATGCTTCTTTTGCCATTTGCTTCAGGCAGACTCCTGGAATTTAGATTGTGATGCAGGATTGTTAGCAATAAACAATGACAAGGTAATACAAATAGCACTAACAGCAATAGGACTGTCTCTGTACATTAATTGTAGAACTGTCTTCACATTTTGATTTTATATTTCCTTACAGTAATTGTTCATCAGATTAAGGGCACTTTGTACTTGCAGAGAGAGACATTTTGCATGCAGTGACTCCTCATGTGAACATATTTTAAAAACAGTCTTTGGGAACAATTTGGGACTATTTTGTATCTATCTAGTGCAGATTGTCTTAGTTTTCAATAAAGATGCAAACTGCCTTTTTATTTTTCTGTGAGCACAAATGGAACATGGGGAAAGAGCTTTTGGTTCCAAGCAGAACATCTTTCGTCAGCACCATCTTTGGAGGATAGAATGGGAGTTAGACTCATCTTTGAGAATGCCACAAAATAATGTATGGCTTTAATAATTCCTTCAGGTTTGCGTGTGTGTTTAATAAGTGAGGTTTGGCATTGCAGGGAGTTGATATCTGTTTACAGACGCTTGCAAGAGTGATATGTGGTTTCTAACAAACTGTTTTCAAAGCATGTGCCTTGTCCCGTTTTCTAAAGTTGGTGTTTTTGTGAATACAATAAATGTGTTGGTGCGTTATGTAGCAAAAAAAAAAAGGGCTTTTATTCGGTCATGTTTTTTTTCCATAAGAATGCTTTGATTTGCTTCGCAGCTTACTGTGTAAATATACTTAGTGCAATTTCTACAACTTCACACCAGCTACAGTACAGCAATGTAAGGGGGACTGTATCTGAAAAACTACATAGCAGTGTTGCCTATTTTTATTTATATTTGAATAAAAGTTGAAAACATTTTATAGATTGTCTGATTCAAAAATGATTTTATTGGTTCTTACAGAACTTTGTAAAAAATAAGATCTTGAGCAGAACTTCAGATCTTCATGAAGAATGATAACAACAGAGAAAAGTACCTCTTGTTCCAGCCTAAGCTTCTACAAGAGAAGCCTGATACACCAGCCTCTTAAAATTCATTTAGTATCAAACACTGGTTCAAACTGTAAACATTACAATGTTCTAGGACTTATTAAGGTGATATCCAGGAAGTCTGTCAGTAGAAAGAGGTCTTTGTGGTCTTCAGTATGTCTGGACTTCCTGTTGAGCCACTTCTAGAAGGATCTGTAGCTGCTTGCTGCAGTAGTCTGAGAATATGAAAGAGTTGAGAATCCTATTAATTTGTGCCAAAGTTAGGATAAAATGCCCAGAGTGGCATTGAATAGGCCACGGGTTAAGTGGTCGAATTTGAAGTTGGAAAAAAACGTAAAACTCTTAAGAAATGACAAGATAACAGCTTTTGATATGACTCACTGAAGATGCGTCTCCATCTATGGGGCAAGCGAAAGCGGTAAACCGTCACATAGTAAACTGGGACCCCGGTCAGTGTGAGAGCACAGCTTCGCCCTGTGTTCCAGGGGTCTGAGTACAGAGACAGACCCACGATGAAGAAGCAAACCACTGTGAAGGTGACAGCAATGACCAGGGGCACCTTCAGGTTATTAAAAAGAGCAGAATAACACAGCTCGGTCAGTTTAGTGTACCATAATATTGGAAAATGCTGTACACAGTTAGACACAACAACCACAGACACACTAACCTTGAAAGGTCGTGGGTGGAGGGGGAAGCGATATCGATGGATGAGCATCCCCAAGGTTGCCAAGGCGATGAAGAACCAGCGAGCAAAGGAGGCAAAGTTGATGAGCTGGTAGATCTCTCCATTGATTAACATCAACACCACCAAGGGGTACTGGAGGCAGGCAGTGGAGAGTGAAGCACCTTTTTATTTGAACAACTCTATCATATCTCTCTCTATCCCAGTAGGAATGAGAATTAAGAACTGGTTCCCATTCAGAAACATTTGCTACGGTAAATTTAATTTACTGTAATGATTTCTTACCAATATATAATGAAAATTGTGATTATTGAATGCAAATGGAATCAATTAAATATTTTCATTGCATAGCTGACAGTTACCACTGATAGTGTCTCCATATCCATTTTAGAAAGACTGACAGAAAGCCCCAGAGACCTATTGTACTATATTTTGTTGACAGTTTTCTCAAAAATTAAGACATAGAATAGATACAAATAACAACACTGAAAATGTAAAATGCTGTTTCCAGCTGATTAGAGATCTTCTGAAACATTTAGATCATGGAAGGCTAAACCTCCCCCTAACAGCAGTTATAAAAACATATTAAGAATGAAACACTGTAAACATATGCTGTTTTATCTTTGTTTTTGGTCTTTTTTCTGTCCATTCACGCAGTGACAAAAATATAAAATAAAAACACTGTTGCTGGTCTAAGTGTGTGGAATGTACTTTACCAGTAACAGCACGGCAGGCAAAGGTGTTTGTCTGCGAATGTGAATCATGGAAAAGATTTGAGGCCAGTGGCCCTCCCTGGCTCCCACAAACAGCATCCTGCAACACAAACAAAGACTTAGAACCAGGCTTTTAACAATCGTTCTTGAATGACAATAATAACCTTTTTGTTCCCTTCTTTGGGTTACCTGGGTGACCCAAAGAAGCCACCGTTAAGCGCTCCAAGGCAGGATAGGGCCACAAGAATGGGAATCACAGATGCCATTCCCTGGAGAGCACGGTTCGCAAACGTCTGCAGAGACACAGGGTTGAACATTTAAACATACAGTGCATCTTATTTCTTTAGATTTTCCTTTTTAAATGCAGGGAGCACTGACCACAGCCACAGCGTCAGACAGCAGCAGCTCAGCGGGGGTCATCATGGTGTAGTAGGCCACATTAACAAGCACATAAAAGACTGTGACTGTCACCATGGAGCAGATTATTGCCAGCGGGATGGTTCTGACAAGACAGGATACACACAGGGCAATATAATACTATTTTCAAGGCAATGTGGCTTTTAAAAATAGGTTGACTGGAGAGCAGATGTCAGATGTAAAATACCTATTTGGGTTTATGACCTCTTCTGTGACAAAGTTCAGATAAAACCTAAAGGGAAAAGGAAAAGCCCGTACACACAGGCACAGTTCGGATTGTTTTGTGTGTGTTTTTAGCAAAGTAATAGGTCTTAATGTATCTTACAGCAACAGTATATTGATATATATGTCATAGAGAGGTCTAGTGTATGGTAAAAGAAGACAATACTGTAATAATGATTTGCTTACCATCCACCGTAGGCATACAGGCCATTATAGAAGGCCAGTGGCACCCTATCCAATGTTAATGAGTCGACCTCAAAACCATTCTGGAAATTCTCTGTTTTGCCTGAAAGAGAGAGAGAGAAAGCATTTGACAGTTAACAGTTGGAAAGCCATCGGTAAACTCAGGGGTAACAATCACACCCTCGCACCTTTGCCCAGTGCGATGACACCAGGGACGATGATGAGGACCAGAGCAAAAATCTTAACGAAAGTCAAGGTGACCTGAGTGCGAGAGGCCATGGTCACACTCCAGCAGTTGACTGCCACGACAAACGCTGCAGGGACACAAAGACAAACAACTGGTAAACGAAAAGTTTATGAGTCTATACCTCGCGCCGCAGTAGCAGAGTAGTATAATGGTGTTGTGGATAAAAGGAGGAGGTATAAAACCACTCACTCACTCCGAGGATGCTGACAAGTTTGATGAGTGCCGTGGGAGCAGCACAAGGTTCAAAGAACGGCTCCACCACATAGCGGCCAAAAGCCAGAGACACATAGGAAGCGACAGCTGGCCTGAAAATAGAGAATATGATCATTATGTGGTGTGATTTGACTTATGCCGGGAAAAACAGGACAAAACTAACCAACCTGATAAATAAGAACTCAGCCCAGAGTCGTAAAAAGGCAGGCAGTGGCCCCAGTGTCTCCAGCAGATAAGTGTAGTGGCCTCCTGATTTTGTAAAACTGGTGCCCAGTTCAGCATAGCACAGGGCCCCTAATGGAGCAGAGAGCAGGCGAGGAAGAAACATATCAAATGTAATTCAAGTTTTAAGCATTAGTATTGGTAGTCCTCAAGTTTATAGACATTATTTGTGTCCATGTTGGACTTACAAACATTATATAATGATATACAATGCAGTTTACGTCTTGCCATGGTAGCTGTGTTTCTCTTCAGATGATATTGTCAGGCTGCCGGTTGATCAGTACCACAACGTTTGGTAAAGATGTGGATTGCCATGAAATTTGGTTAAAGTTGGGATAAAACCGAGTAACTTTGTTGATCCCCTGACCTTTCATCTAGCGCCACCATTAAACATTTACTTTAAAATTGTATCTGCACAACCACTGACATTCCCATCAGCATCATCTGAAGGTTGTGTTCAGTGGGAATTAGCAAATGCTAGCATGCTAACATGCTAAGCTAACCTTTTTACCTGCAAAACATCATTATGTTAGCATTGTCACTGTGAGCATGTTAGCATGAGAGAGCTGTTAGAATGGCTGTAGTCTTTGTCTTATTGTGTAACTTATAGATAGATAGATAGATAGATAGATAGATAGATAGATAGATAGATAGATAGATAGATAGAGGTGGATAGATGGATAGATTATTCTTTATTTAAGGGGTAATTCAATTAATGTATTTTTAAAATGTTAAAAACGCTTTACACTTTTTCTTTCTGTTAATCCATATTGTGTTTCCTAACACACTCCATCACACACTGTAGGCTACCAAACACAGACTGTAAGTAAATAAATATCAATGTAAAATGCAGTTCAAGTAACACAAATAAAGGAACAATTACAATGTTTTACCAAGACAACAGAGGTGAATTATACCATGAAGGATCTTACCAAACATGGAGAGGACCCCACACAGAGCCCACACCACCAGAGAGAGCCCCACGCTGCCACTGTTCATCAGCACTCCCTTGGGTGCGATGAAGATCCCGCTCCCCACCACTGTGCCGATGATGAAGGACACTGCAGGCAGCAGGCCAATCTCCCTCCGGAGGTGCACCACCTCCTTTTCGGTCTTCTCCTCCTTGTCGCCCTCCTCTTTCTTTATCTGTGTCCTGTCCATTTCTCCGTGGCTCTAGATTCCACTTCAAACTGACCACACTTAGTTTCCTTAATTCTGCTCATTTGAAGTTTACATCTATTGTATATTACTCCTGCAAACTTAAAGTTCTTACCTCTTTTTAGTCCTCCTTTTGATTGTTGCTCAATGACACAACAGCAGCAAAATCCTTTCCACTTTCTCTCCAACTGGCACCCCCCCCAAACAACAATCAACAGGCCTCTCTGTGCTTCCTGTTAACCCTTCTGGACACATTTGCAGCAGTTTGGTGAATGTCAGTGAAGCTGAACCCCCTTTCCCCTTAACTTATCCTCTATGTTTTTCTCCCCCTCATTGGCTCTTACTCCACCCGCCCCAGCCTGAGCGAGGAACAAAGCCAGCTTTCTTCCGAGCTTCAGCAAGTAATTAGCGCAGTTTAAAGGCTCGCCGCTTTCCTGCATTGTGCTGCATGCATGTGCTCTTACATATGTGTACAGCTTGACAGAGGCCTTTGGGGCTCTTTGGTGGTGGTGGTGGTGGTGGGGGGGGGGGGTGGAAGGGTCAGGGCGTTGTAGTGGCAGCTGCACAGACTGCAGGAGGGCTACTTTCAATAACAGCAGACATTTTCATCATGTTCCCTCTGAAGCTCTGGTTTACAACACCTAAGTGCTTTGGTGTTGACTGCCTTCATATCAGTTATTCTTTCTGGCAGTCTTCTTGCACATGCATCTCCAGCTGAATTGGAAATATTTGTGCAATATTCTTGCCAAGATCAAACAGGCCTTAGAACAGCTCAGTATGAGAGGCAGCAGAAAACAAAAACAGAGGCCACTCTATCAGCTTGTTTTTCCTTATTTTCACTTGACTGACTGCTCTATGGATGTCAGTTTCACTTCATCAGCGAGAGCTCTGCTTGTTAAAATTCCTCCACACCCAGTACATACCAAGAAGTTCTTTTGCTCAGGATTTATGAAGTGTGAACAATTGCATTTGCAGTCAGATGTTAGGAGATGTCATCTGGATGCATTCAAAACCAAAAGCTCATATACAAAATATTGTGAGAAATATGGAATTTTCTTGTGGTATTTAATGGCCCTCATGTATCCAGGATTCAGCATAACAGGATCATATGATGTCTTTGTTTATTTAGAAGGTCAAGAAGCTGAGAGATGCACAAATGGGGGATGTTTGTGGGAGTTTCCTGCTGTTAAAGCCAATAAACATTTGACATTCTACAAGCTAAACTCTGACTTTGAAGCTTAAATTTTTCTTCTCAGGCAAAAGCTGTTCCTTCATATACGAGCAATCATGACATGTTATGTAATGATATATGAAGACATAATCTAAAAGATGTGTGCAATGGCATTCAGTCCTTCTTGCATTCCAGTACATACTCGCCAAAGTACAGCCTCAAAAATGACAATATTACACCCAAGGGAAGATGCACAAGATGAGTGGTGACTTCTATGCTGACACTGCAGCAACACAAAGGACATTTTTACTTGTATTTTTGTCCTTCTAATCTTGTTTTGGAAATCTAATATTTATATGTAATTCCTGTGCATACATCATGATATATGTTTGAATACTTGACAAGACAATTGGGATTCATGTGATGATATATAGAGAGAGATTTCTCAGCTAGAAAATGGAGATGTACTATTTTGACATTTTAACAATGGTGGATTGAACTCTCAAATATGACACCTGACAAGGGTTATAATAATAATAATAATGCAAACAACCATGGATTTTGGATTTTTGTAAACATATAAAATTATTTTTTAAAATAAATGTAGTTGCTTGGACAAAACAATACATTTAAAGATGTCACATTTTCTGGAAAACTGTGATTCACTCTCTGTGGCATATTGTAATGAATTATAGAATGAAAACAATCAATGTTTTCAGATAAATTAGTCATAGAGTTATATCAACATCTTATCAAAATGACTCATAAATCTTGGTTGTTTCCATCCCTGATGCTTCTCTTCAATTGACCAGCAGAGGGAACTGAAGTATTTAACCTACTAAAAGAGTCCTTTTACTGAAAGCTGGGAGCACTTTGTTTTCTTTCCACAAGATGGCGACCTCATCTCACACTAGATATCTATTATCTATTAGAGAGATTCTGTGTTACTTATTACCTATCTCTACCAGGTAAGGCCCTGGGACATGTTGAGCGTCACACTGTGAAATCCCAGGGCAGGTCTGAATTTAGCCCCCCTCTCTCCGTGGGTAACCCTGCCGTGAGCTCCCACACCCGCCCCAGGAGATGTGAGCACCAGCTCCCCTGCTGTTTTCCACCTGACCTCCCAAGATCCCTGCCCAGTCAAATGGAGGCCTCAACCGCTCACTCCTGACTGTTCCTCCCATAGGCTCCACTCCCATGGAGTAGAATACAAAGGGAATATGCCCTGACATTTCCCATGAGCCATTTACAGGAAGGTCCCTGAGGTTTCCTTTTTTCCATTTTATAAATCACTGGTTAGGAAAGTGGGGTTTTGAGGATGTAAAAGTACACAAAAGCTTCTCAGCAAAAGCATTGTTTCCCTCAGTAGGTATCCCAAAGGAGAAAATGTATGGGAATGATCATGTTAATCACATAATTCATTCTCACTACTCTTTTATTCATATGCAATTAAATGATAGCAACAGCGGAGATCTCAACATATGGCTCTCTAATTAAAATGGGATCTTTGAGGGTCTGGATTTTACGTGACATGAAAACATTTTAGAACCCTTGTTGGGAATCAATAATCAAGTAAAACACACTGGCGGGTTAAAATTATTCATCTCTCTCCTTATGGATTATCCCTCTCAAGGTAACAAGGAGAGAAAAGTCATCCTCCATACTGTCCTCATGGAGACATTGCCCTTGGCAACCAGCCGAGGTCTTTGCATGCATGGAACAAGTCTCGACGTCTTGAATCCCCCAATTACAAGCCCTATTATCGCATATAATGTGTGTATGTGTGTCTGGCCCTGTCCTGGGAGTTAATTAACCCTCACACACAACGGCACACACACCAACATACTACAGATATATACACTGTACATGCATACACAAACAGCACTCATGAGCATTCAGTGATATGGAAAACACCCATAAACAAATGCCCATATACACACACACACACACACACACACACACACACACAAACACACACACACACACACACACACACACACCTTCAGGTGCTGCTATCTTAGCAGGACAGAGTAAACAAGCTATGTCTTTTTGTAGAGAAACACAAGGTGATTAAGTGTTACATCTGACATTTAGATATGTCACAAGATTAAAGAGTGCAATTCACTGTTTCTGCAAATTACAGAGGAAAAGTCATATTTAATGGGTGTTACATGATTCCTTAACTTTACTGCTTGGGTTTTAAATGTGATCCTGTTTCTAAAGTAGATTTGTTGGACTGAGAGAAATAAGGAGTTGAATTTTACTTAGCTTTTTTGAGCAAGTTTTATGTGTTTTTTTATTTTATTTTTATTTTTTGTTTTTTGGGTGTTCAATGGTAGCTGCTGGCAGTGGTAAGAGACCTAGTCCGATCTTTTATTTACGTAAAAGTACTAATACTACCATGTAAAAATACTCAGTTGGAGGTAAAACTCTTTGATTAAAACTCTGAAAAAGTATGAGCATTAAAATAAACTTAGAGTACCAAAACTAAAAGTACTAATTATGCAAAATGGCTCTTTTCTTTTTTCTTGCATTAATGTGTTGTGCACTTAAATGTAGCAACCAGTAAAGGTGTGGCTAATTTGAATTACATTATATATTGCTGGGTGGCTTAAATCTATAATCATAAATTACTGGTTGATTTATATTTGCTATCAATAATCTAAATATGCAAAGTAATAAATAATGAAAGCTGTCAAATAAAGGAGTAAAAAGAACAATATTTGCCTCCTAAATGAATATGAGTAGAAGTATAAAGTAACATAAAGTGGAAGTACCACTTGTGTAGATTTAATTAGTTACATTACACTGCTGCCTGAGTATTGATGTGGGAAAACATAATACATTTTATTTGACCTATTTCTATTTTTCTAATTATTATCATGGTGATGCTCATTATGAAAACCTATGTATTGGCACACATTGTCTTTTAAAATATGTTTTGTCTTATTTCAACGACAGTGTTTAATTGGTTTTCATTGTTTGCACCAGATCCTACCTACCTGTTTAAGAGACCTCTGTGCACATACATTGTCCTTTATTGTAAAATGAATCAATACCCAGCCGCATTAACCTGCTTTGGGGCACTGGGGCTAAAATTGGCTCTTGGGCTCTCATAAACCCCCCAAGTTCATCCGCCTCTGAATTCTGTATAGGACTCTAATGTTGGAATATTACACAAACCCAGTTTTTTTGTGTGGTAATTTATGCTGTGGTGTAATTTGACACATTTGATGGGCTTTCTGGGGTCCCTATAATCCAGTAAATGTGCAACAGAGAAGAACTCTGAAAGATGTACCCTCTTAAAAACTGTATGGATGCAAACCTATTGGAACAATTCTCACCAGTTACCAATATCATAAAACTGGCTTTCATAAATCCAAATCTAACAATAGAAATACTCCAATACGACTGTGTGTGATTTGAATTGCCACTGAGGACGTACAGTCATGGATGTTGCTTTTAGCATTCAGGTCACGCCTCACAGCCCATCTGTTATTGCACCTCACACACACACACACACACACACACACACACACACACACACACACACACACACACACACACATACTCACACACTTCACCTTACAGAGTGTTTCAAATATGAATTGTGTAGGGTGTGGGGAACAGGATCATTACATTAGATGACATATGTTACACATGATGGATGGGGTTGGGTGATGGTACATAGATAAAACCAATCGACAGGTAACAGCAGAGTACTGGAGCCTGCTGTTTAATTAAGTAGCTTACGGTGCATTCTGAAATTACATTTCTGCCCAAGAGAGAAAGCCATACAGAAACAGAAGTGACAGAAATGTAGAAGAAGCCACCGTGTGCTTTTGTTCAACGTTGCATTTTGGGGTATGCTTCACTGCCATTGGGTTCTTTAGCCTGTAGACAAACAAGAAGGGCTGCAATTCAAAAGCCTTCTTTGGGATTTTGAGGTCTTCCCAGTATCAGAAGAGTAAATAAACACCACAGGCTCTGTAGCGTGGTGATACGGACCCCCACTGTCCACAAGCCAAGATGCAAGAACCCAGTTTTAAAAAATAGAAAAAAGAACAATACATCATCCTCATCTGAC